TGTTGAAAAAAAAAGTGTTCCCATCCCACTTGTATCACAGAGAAACAACAGTTTAAGTTAAGTCTAACGTTAACGTTAAATTTGTTATTAAAATGTAGAGTACAGCCCTTGGCCTTAGGCCTAATTTAGGTCGTAACTGTTACTGTTTAAAAATCTAAAGTAAAATTAGACGGTTTTCATGGTTATAGACCTAGTAATTGAGAAAAAAAAGTTTACCCGTCACTGAGACCAGGTCAATCAACATTCTAGATCCATTATTAGGGTCTAACGTTAGTAGATATAATGTAGATGCAGGCGCAGATCCAGTGGGGGTGAGCGGGCCTTGCCCCCCCCCCCCTTCCGCAAAAAAGGGAGAGAGAGGGAGAGGGAGAGAGAGAGAGAGAGAAGGAAAAGAAGGAAAGGGAAAGAGCAGAGAAAGAGAAAGAAAGAAGAGGAAGAAGAAAAGAAAAGGGGGAAGAAGGAGATCGGGGGGGGGGTGCGAAAGGACCTTGCCTCCCAGGCTGTTGCCTCCCCCCGCCCCCGCTAAAAAGAGAGAGAGAAGGAAGGAAAAGGAAAAAAGGAGAGCTAAAAGGGACCAAAAAAAAGGAAGAAGGAAAAAAAAGGGTGAAAAGAATTTCGATGCGGTGTTCGAGTAGAATTCTGTGAGATGATGATATACTTTCTCGTAGCTTGATGTGACGAGATGTCTCTATCTAGATATCTGTTGATAGTATTATAGAATATAGAAGCCTGAAATGACCTTCTGCTCGTAACCGACAAGTCACCGCATTAAAATTAAATTGCAAATAGTGTTCAACAACACGATGGTGGATGAAACTTTCTAATATTCGAAGATATATGACCTTCAGACCATATTGTTTCATTATTTTTTATTCAATCAATCAACGTCAAGGAATTGATTTATCATCGCTCTTCAATTTATTATTTCACCTTTTAATGTACTTTCATTCTTATGAATCACAAAAGAACACTGAATTGGATTCTTCAATGTTTGTTTTGATTAATTTCCTCCCCTTTCCTTCTCCCTGTTTAATACTGATAAAATTTCAATTGTTCTTAATCAAGGCAAAATATTATTTTCATATTTTATTTATGCAAGACAGGAAGAGAGAGAGAGAGAGAGAATATGTTAAGGGAGAATTATCGAGTACAACTATGAATTGCATCCTTTTTAATATTATTCAATTCGCTGAAAATATTCAGAATATGAATATGATAAATCCTCATAATACACCAACGCTGTTCAACGCATCCAACGCTCCAACCATAGCACATACGCCGATGCACCATATTTCTCAATATGAAAAGATTTTTTAAATGAAATTTGAAGAAAAATCAAATTTACAATGCACTGACAGGCATCAGTTGAAATCATGAATTCTCTGTGACTGGCTTAGCACTAGTTTCTGAGGGACCAGTCACTAAAGAGGAAATAAAGGGAAGGAAAATTGAGAAAGAAGTAAATAAAAGAAGGGGGATATCAGTTGCAATTTTCCCGCCAACAAGTTGCGGATCGGGATGGGGGTGGGGCAAAAGGCCTTTGCCTCCCCCCGCCCCCGCTAAAAAAAAAGAGAGAAGGAAGGAAAATGAAAAAAGGAGAGCTAAAAGGGACCAAAAGAGAGGGGAAAAAAAGGTGAAAAGAAGGGGAGATAGAAAACCTAAAAGAGAGAGAGAAGGAAGGGAAAGGAAAGGAAAAGAGGAGAGAAAGGGAAAGAAAAAAAAGAGAAAGAAAAAACTTAGGGAGATCAGTTACCTTGTTAGGCGCCTTGAGCATCTCTTGGGGTGGATATGTGCGCATTATAAATGTTGTTATTATTATTATTATTTAAAGTGTAAATCAGGGGGGGGGGGCACTGGCGTACTGATTGGGGAGGGGGCTCGGGGGAAATTAAATTAAACGTGGTTTATTTCTAATTCCATAACGGTGGTTTACACATAATGCTGAAATGACATAATTGTCCGAGATTTTTTAGTAAATTATACTTTTTTATGCGTTTGTTGTAAAATGACACATTCCTAAATTTACAGCCAGGCAAGAAATATGCTTCTTGAGATGCCTAGGGGCCTACACGTCAGGGCCCGCGGAACGGCGGGAATCGGGAGCCTTGAGGTCCCTCCCCCACCCCCCCCCCCCTCCACTTTTTTTTGAAAAAGTATATAAAGAGAAATGGAAAGAAAGAGAGCAAGTCAGAAAAAATAGTTAACTGCCAGTGTCACAACAAAATAAGGTATTAACCGTAATTAAACGCCTAAAATCCCTGAGCTTCCGGGGCTCTGGCCCTGGACCCAACCGAGGGCCCTAAGTCGGGCCCCTTGATACTCAGCTGACCGTAATTTAGTGCCTAAAACCCTTGAGCCGAGTCGAGAACGGTACAGCGAATCGTCTTCTTTCTTTAATAATTTTAATGAAACCCCAAAGCTTTCGCGCTTCGCGCGGGAGGGGGGGGGGGGTTGGAACCGAATTCAGACAAGAATTAAGAATCGAGAATGGTACAACGAATCGTCTTCTTTCTCTAATACTTTAATGAAACGTCAAAGCTTCCGCGCTTCGTGCAAGAGGGGGAGTGGGGCTGGCTTCAGACAAGGATTAAGAGTCGAGAACGGTACAACGAATCGTCTTCTTTCTCTAATGATTTAATGAAACGTCAAAGCTTCCGCGCTTCGCGCGGACGGGGGGGGGGGGGGTAAATGAATTTAGATGAGTATTATTTTCGAGAACGGTACAACAAAACGTCTTATTTCTCTAATAATTCAATGGAACGTCAAAGCTTCTGCATATCGCGCTCGAAGGGAGAAACTGAATTCAGACGAAGTTTATGAGTCGAGAACGGGCAACGAATCGCCTTCTTTCTCTAATGATTTAATAAAACGTCAAAGCTTCGGCGCTTTGCGGAGGAGGGAGTGGAAAAATCGCCCCTCCCTGCACCCCCCCCCCCATTTACGTCAATGCCGGTCACCATTACGTACCAATATTTGGCTCGCATAATTTCAAATTTGCCCCCCCCCCCCTAAGAAATCCTGGATCTGCGCCTACCCGTGATGACATTCTCTCCATTTCTTCCCGTTCTGCACATAATGTCGTCCTCATTATTCGTAGCAACCTTATTTACATTATTTCTTTACTTTTAGTCTTTACCATATCCTTCCAAAACACGGGGGCGGATCTAGCTTTTTGCTAAGGGTGGGGGGGGGTAAACCAAATACGATGTGGAGCATCGTCCACGAGCCGCGAAGCGGCGAGGCGATTTTTTTTGGTGCTATTTTGATCCCCCGTTAGTGATGTTTTCCTGGCATCTACTGAAATCTACTACTGTGTAGGTCTGGACACACGATAGCACTTTTCTATGCACATCACATTTTCACATGGCAGCCCAAGGGGGATCGGGGGATTAAACCCCCTAAACCGCCTAGATCCACCCCTGCAACACCCCTGCAACATCTTTGCTGATCTTCTTCTCAATATTGATTTATTGGTCGAGTTACATTATTTGCTGGTCTTTTAAAACAACCAGATTTCAGAGGATTCTCACTTTTCACAACGAAAAACTTCTCCATGTTTCAGTCCTTGCGCGATCGTCTCCAGCTCCAGCAGATATTGGGCGTCAGCGTGCACACCGGTACGTACTACCGGCGCAGTATGACGGCCGCATTAGCTGTGCACTGCGAGCTTCCGTTGTTTGTATCGGTAATACTCATAGAGATGGGAGGGAAAGCGCCATCTAAGTTCCATTCTATTGGTTTAAGGTTTGAAAATTGATACTCAATATTGTGTTAAAGTTATATAAGAAAAGATAATCTTTTTTTTATAATTCCACGGGGGCGATTTTTTTATTTTGCAATCGCCCCCGTGGGCAACCTGACGGGGGCGATTATGGAGCTCACGGGGGCGAATCGCCCTCGCCCCTGTGTATTTTGGGCGCTGCTAAGACGGCTCCTGAATGCTCATCTGACCGTAGTTAAATATTAAAACCTCTGAGCTTCTAGGGGCTCTACCCCCCCCCCTTGGAACACGTCGATTGCCTTACAGAGGGCCCCTGGATGCTCATCTAACCGTAATTAAATACCTAAAACCCCTAAGCTGCCGGGGGCTCAGCCCCTTGACCCCCTGCCGAGGCTCATGCCCTGGACCCCACGCAAATTTACGCTCTACCTGATCGATAATACTCCACTTTGAAAAACGTTCCCGCGGGACCTGCATGTAACGTGGAAGACTGGTGGTGATGCAGATTTTTCGTCTGCCCCCCCCCCCTTCCGAACATTTTTTCTCATTACGTCACTGCCCCTGGAATGTTTGCCCCCCCCCCCCAAGTCCCAAACTGCTTCCGGCGCGCCTGGTCTACTGTATCAAAGGCCTTTTTAAGTCAAGGGTCACCACGCCTACAAGATTACCTTTATCTAAACTATCAAGCCAGTCTTCCGTGACGTTCAATAGAGATGTCATTGTAGAGTGTTTCGGGCGAAAACCTGACTGATTGCAACCTATAATTCCGTTCTGATCCATATAACCGTAATGTTGATCAAATACAAATTTTCCAACAATTTTAGCTATCGCCGGAAAAATTGATATTGGTCTATAATTGTTCATATCAGACTTTTTTCCCGATTTAAAAACTGGAGGAACACGAGACATTTTCCATTGTAGAAGGACAACACCTTGCTCAAAAGACAAATTTATGATATATGTTAAAGGCTTGAGAACATAAGTCATTATAATTTCCCAAAATTCAGCTAGTACATTATCTGGACTACAGGCCTTCTTATCTTTTAAATTCTTAATAACATTTAAAACTTGTTCTTCATTAACTAGATCAAAACGGAATCCATCTCCGGGTAAAACAGTATGCATAACATCTCTCTCTCTCTCTCTCTCTCTCTCTCTCTCTTCTCTCTCTCTCTCTCTCTCTCACACACACACACACACACGCACACACGCACACACGCACACACACATACTCTCTCCCATTCTCTCCTTCTCTCTTCTTTCCTCTCCCCTCAAACAGGCAACCGTATGTGATTTAACGAGACACGCGATAGCAGAGCCGTGGTTCTGCACAGCGCCAACCAAGACCAATTTGACTTGTTCAGACTTTGCTTGGACTTGTGTCAACAGTAAATACTCAGCGGCTCTTTACCGATCTGCCATGCTGACAAAGGATGAAGAGAGTTTATTTGGAAGGTAAGCGCGGGCGTATCCAGGAGGATAGGGGAAGTTCCCTGCTTTTTTTTTTTTTTTTGGGGGGGGGGGGGGGGGGGGGGGGGGGGGTGGGAGAGAGAACGGCTGTTACAAATATACCCCTCTTTTCAAGGTAAAAGTTTGGGTGGGGGTGTATTTGTATAGACCATCCACCTCCCTGAACAGTTTTGGAGATTTTTTACCTCCGGATGCCCTTGTTTAAATTCATTTGCTTGTCATGGGTAATACCCACAATAATCAAACTATCACATATCAAAAAAGGCGGTCATTTAGAGCGATCACTGGGCTAGGACAAAAGCTAAGAGAATTCATATTCATTGACGGCAGTGGAGGGATATAGAGTTTTTAAAGACCGTCAATACTACTGGGCCAGAAGGGATTAGACCACACAGCGAGGTCACTGACAGGTGGCTATCTCATTTACTCAGCTCTCAACTAACATAAGAAAAAGAGGATCATGGGGGACCAACAGGCACCGATTGGGAAGTTCTCTATATAGAGGGAGCAAGTAGCTACAAGTAGGACAGTGGGGCTTTAAATGTCATCGCGCAATCCATTACATTGAATTACTCAATAACTCACTTTTTTGTCCTGGGTAGTTTTAAAGAATTGTGGTGTTGTCATTTAATATGATACCAGCCACTGTACTCTCGAGGCAAGAATATGTTAAAGGGGCATGTTCCCCGTATTCCAGAGGGCGTTCAAAATACGTACCTGCTGGCGGACGGTGCTAGCTGCCTATTGACACCAACAGAATACGGCTCTTAAGCAGAAGGCATGTTCCGAATGCCAGCACAATGCCAATTATCGTATACATGTGCCGAAGTAATACCAATCGCAGTTCGGCTCTAAGATTCGGCTGCTGTTTCCGCCCACTTTCGTGACGTCACAATCGGCAGCGATCAGCTGGCTTGGCGAAGGCAGGCCAGGACGCGCGTACTTCGATCTTTTGAACCAAGATGGCGATGACTAGAGCAGCGATAACTACACTGGCGGGAAGCGACTTTGCGTTTTACACCCTGGCCTGGACCTTTTCCCAATAAATTTCAAGGAACCGACTGGGAAAAGTCTATCCATGACAAGATATTGCGCGCGCACGTAGCTCTTCTGCAATGCTCAACGTACGTCCTATATGTCCAGTGTCGCGGTACGCGGTACAGGTACTTTTGTATCGAGACGTACGAGTGAGAGAAAAACAACGAATAACAACAGAAGGAAATAGAGAAAAACAATAAATAATTAAAGAACAGAGAGGAAACAAAGAATGTCATAAGCAGAGAGAGAAAACAAAAACTAACTTGAAAGAAAGAGAGAAATTAGAGAAGGAATTAATCAAAGTAAGGAAAGAGAGAAACCAAATAATATTATGGTTTTTGTGGTTTAATTCCGCCTTCTTCAGGGTTTCAATTTTTGACGTGTAGCCTACTTTCAAACCATTTGCTGATTCGGACCCCCCCCCCCCCCCCTAACACACGTGTACACATACGACACATACACAGACTACACTCGACATAATATGTGTAATGGTAATGTAATACATAAACTGTGATTTAAATATTGCACTCGTACCATTTTCTATTATTGTGGGATCACGTCTTTCATTTTTTAAATTCATGTCATTTGTTTCTAAGACCTAATTTCTCTAATTCTCTTGACCCCTCTCCCTTCATATTTGTTTTCTAAGACCTCCCCCCCCCCTCATCTCTCTTCATATTTGTTTTCTAAGACCCATTTCTCCCCCGCCCCCCCCCCCATCTCTATTCATATTTGTTTTCTAAGACCTCTCTCTCTCGACCCACTCTCTCTCTCGTATGTATTTCTCAGACCCCTCTTTCTTTCTCTCTCATTAACCCCCTCTTCATATTTGTTTCTAAGGCCTCTCTCTCTCTCTCTTCATATTTGTTTCTAAGACCCCCTCCCCTCTCTTTCTCATTTCTTGATATTTATTTCTAAGACCTCTCTCTCTCTAGCTCTCAATTCATGATATTTGTTTCTAAGACCCCCTCTCTTTCTCACTTCTTGAATTCATATTTGTTTCTAAGACCTCTGTCTCTCTCTCCCTTTCTCTCTTTCTCATTTTAAATTCATGATATTTGTTTATAAGACCTCTCTTTCTCTCTTTTTCCATTCATCACTTTGTCTAGTGTAATGTACAGACACATAACATATAAAGGAAATTATACACCAGTTTTACATGAATTCATTTGCACTTTATTTACTGCTTTACATTCATATACTTTTTTTTTTCGTGAAGGTAATCTAATCCTTCAATGTCAGAGAAGTAATACAAAAGATACAGGAGTATGTGTATGCATAAATAGTTATATAAAGAAGAAATATGTAGTAAAAGTGAAAGCAAACAATAGTAGAAATTTGAACAGATAATTTGACAGTGTGTTAAGATTTAGATGCAAGAAATGACTATAAGAAATTTTTATTTGAAAATACATGCACATGTAGATCGAGGAGCGTAGACTAGACTCATTCAAGCAGTTTCATTGCTATTTACCGGGAAAATGTCCAGGCCAGGGTGTAAAACGCAAAGTCGCTGGCGGGAAGCGTCTTATTTTTTCGTACCACGGCGAGCCCGGATTCCTGTTTTATCATGAATATTCATTAGGCAGGGCCGGGGAAAGTCTCGATTCTCTTGAATATTCATGTATGATCGAGGCATGCGCAGCATCGAATATCGTGTATAACAAGTTCGTTGGATTAATGGCAGGCCTATAATATGACATAGTAAAGCAATGTCATGGTCATTTAGATAATACAGTCATAAATGCTGTGTTTAATTACTAGTAAATGCCAAAATGTCAGTACCGGTAGACAAGATATATAGCATATATTTCAAGTAAGAGTCTTGATAGGTAATTTGTGAGTAGCCTAGGCCTACTTTTCTGAGATTAATGGGAGTCTAGTTCTTTTCATGAATTGGTAAATAATCATTTCTAGGTTTGCTTTTTAAATATTACAAGCAGAGGTTGCATTATGGTATTGAATATGTGATACAGTATTATAAACTGTATAAAATAGATAACAAGAATAGGCCTACGTACAGACATTTATCAAAAATAAAATACTTGTGTATTGCACTTAAATTATTTCTATGATCTATGCTCACTTAACTGCATAAGGAAGAAAAGGAAGAAAGAAAAATGGGATTAGAAAGAAGAATAACAAAGTTAAAAAGTAAAATATATATAAATAATAAATGAATGGAAGAAATAAAGAATACGGAATAGATACCAAGGAAGAAAGAAATAAATTGCAAGAAAATTTAAATGAAAAGAAGAGAAAAGAAAAAGGGAAAGGAGCAAGATAATATTGATACCATATCTTCAATCTTGTTTTCTTTTATCTTGCCTCTTGTTTTTGTTTAGGCCTAGCTACCATTTTTTCCTTTCCTTTCTCTTTTTCTCTTAAAAGTTCTCTTTGGTTTCTTTCTAAAATAATGAGGGAAGGGGGGGGGGGGTGGGGGACTCGATGATAATTCATCATTTGAAGGTTTACAATGTGAAGTCCACGAGTTATATGCACCCACTGAAGAAAATCCATGTACAGGGTTGCTGCAGGAACCCCAGCACCCACAGATCCCACGCATGATGAGACTAACTCGAGAGAAACCTACATATTCTTTCACATACATTGAAGAAAAAAAGAAGAAAAAAAAATCCAAGATCGGTTGAACTCTTTTTGACCCCTCCCCAGGACGTCGATCAATTACATTTATGTGCCCCCCCCCCCAAACTCTGGCTACGGCCCTGGCGATAATTACCCACTATTCAAATCTGACAGGTGCCCCTTTTTCTTCAACAAATGCCCCTTTAACTTCATAATAAGTGCCACTGTTCCATTTTCATAAGTGCCCCTTGTGATATCTGATAAAAGCCCTTTCATTTTTTTTTACTTTGACACACGTCCCCTTAAACTTTCTAACAAGTGCCCTTTTACCTTTTGAAATGTGCCCCTTTCCCTGTTTAATAGGAGCCCCAACCCCAACCCTTTCTCATAAATGCCCCTTTGACATATGCCCCCTTTTCCTTTTTTTATAATTCCCCTTTTCTGTCTTTCTCTGTCTTTCGAAAACTATCTTCTGCAAGGTTTGTTCTCTTGACTGAGCAACCTGTTGCAATTCCTTTCTGTCTCACTTTCAGTCGTACTTGTTGCCACTCATTTGCATTCACTCGTTATCAACTACCATCAACCATTCCATATTCACTCCATTACTGTCCACATTTCAATTTCATTCTCTTCACTCTCCCTTTTTACAGCCTTTCCAGGAGCTTTGCTAGAAGTAGAACATTTTTAATGTAGAGGCCAGAGAAACCGGAAAGTATGTTAATCATTTTATTCAAATATCTAACTTGAAAAAAAGGAAAGTGAAACATTGTTTAATTACAATATATTGACATAATTTTGTTAAAGAAAAAATTTGAATTTAACACTGGAAATTTGTAATTGGTTTGCCAGCCCATGTACTGTATAATTTTTATTATTAAGAATAGTTTTCTCTTTTTTATTAATTTGACATTGGCATACCGTAAATTTCACCAGGAACCCCCCCCCCCCCTCCCGACACTGCCATTACTTCTACCAACAGTAATGCTATAATTCAAAATTTCACTTTCTAAATCCTTCTCATATAAACATATAGTCATATTTGTACAGAGGATAAGATAAGAGGATAGCAAGCCCCCCCCCCCCCCCTGTTTTCTTTAGTTGGGAAGCATCGAAACATGATTCTATGAAAGCTACCAGTTTGGATACGAAAGGCAATGAGGATTAGCAGTTTCCATATTTAATGCATTTAGAGTGTTGTCTTTCAAACCTTCTTACATACAATACTTGAAGTAGCAATAATTTCATAATCTACAAAACTTCCCATACAGAAGTCCATAGAGGTAAATGAATTTTAACATGTATAATTATAATCAAAATATCATTGATTAATTCAATCTTTGATATAGACTGATAGACCTTTATCAATCAAATTTGAAGGAGAATCTTTCTGCCCAGTCCTCAGTTTCATCCTATAAGATGGTAGTTGACATTGTTAGAATTTTAATGTTTATTCGTTGAGGATTAGTTATCTTTAATTATTTGAAAGTCGACAAGATGATAAACTTCATTAGCTTTATTGAATGTAGTATTCTACAAACATATAATACAAATAAATATCATGTAAATATTCCAGTTTAAACCCATCTCTATTGTCCTCTTTCATTATATGAGGGTGGCATCTTTAAGACGTAGTCTCGTGTAGATATCTTCTGCATCCATCACTAAAGTTGTAGCCTAGTTTTCAGAAAAAAATATAACCCAAGTCTGAATGGAAAAATGAAATAAGATATAAAAAAATCAACAATGACTAATAACATACACCCTGATACCTGCTCAGAAAAAGGAAGGACTGAAATTCACTTGGGGTTCTAGTGGGCAAACCTAAACTATTTTTTGTACAAGACTAGTTTAAATACTGACCGCATCTTAAATTATTACTGATGATCCCATTAAGACGATAGGCCTGCTGGAGCTCGGATCAGACAAGGTATGAAATAAGTAATACAATGTAATACAACTCGTGCTCATACCGGTAATTGAATAATACTCGGTTAAGTATGGGACATAAAATGACCAAACAACTTTGACCAGAGAATGTACTGGAAATAATGCTACTGAAACATACGTAATGTAGACTTATATTTCATCTATATTGACATTTAATTTTTAATCTAAATTACAATTGTGATATTAAGTCAATTATTCTTTTACAAGTCAACTGACAATGAAAAATATCTGTTTCAGATCTATAATTTTCTCCATGACATTTGTTCCACAAAAATTTATTGGGGGTACCTTCATGTATATTAGCACACTTGCTCGTATGAAGTGTAGTAGGCCCGCATCTCTAGATATGATCCCGTCAACATCTGTTCTTTGTTCCTCTCCTGAGTTTGCAAACCAGAATGCCTTCATCATCCACTGTAGAGAGGCATCATCCTACATGAGAGAAAACAAAGTAGGTACATGTACTTCAATTAAAAACTGATACTGATGGATACATATCAACCATAATACATCCTATAAACAGACTTTTATCAATCTTATTTTGTGTTCTTCTTCATCTTCATTGCTCAAGAAGTGAAAGTACCCCTTACAAAAAAAAATGAGGGGTCCTGTGTATACCCTACATGTAGTGCTTACAATGTGCATTTGATATGGCTCTTCTAAACACAGGACCTCCTGTAAATAAGGACAAATTTTCCTTTGTAAACATAGAAAGAAAAGACATCAATATTTGTATACTAGGTGCAGAACTAGAATAAAATATACCCTCCACTATATATGCTTGCAATGTCAACTTAGTTCCATTTCCTTTTGAGTGAATTAATAGGTGGTCGTTTAATATGTGTGTGCTAAATAACCTGATAACTGTACCTGCATGGGACTTTCTGCTTCATCTTGCAAATATAAGAGATGTTGTAATGTCCTCCTTCCAGCTCTTCAGTTTCAATCTTTTGGAACAAAAAGAAGAAGAAAATCAATACGACAATCAAGGCATCCCTTTCTCCTTAACAAAATAAAATAGATCTAGCATAATTCAAATTAATAGATATTTTTATGTCATGGTTGGCCTTAATTTTAATATGGTGTGGAAATCAACATTCCTATTTAATGAACCACAGTACAAAGTAAAACTAAATGGAAGATTTAACTTGTGCATCAAACAGTGGTTTCTATGGCCTATGAACACGAAGCAGTACTAAGTAGAATTAGTTTATTATAACAAGAAGAGGTGGACTACATACCATATAAGCAGAGGCGGCGCTCCGAGAGGGGGGGGGGGGGCAGAGTGCCCTCCCATTTGGTCAAGTACCCTAAAAGTGCCCCTTTTTGCATAGGAAAAGTGCCCCTTTTTACATAGGAAAGTGCCCCTTTTACTCTGACAAGTGCCCCTATTAAGTTTTTAAAGTGCCCCTTCCCCTTTTAATAACTACCCCTTTTAACTTGGATAAGCGCACCTTATATCTTCACATGTGCTCCCTTTCATTTTTAATAAGTGCCCCTTTTTCTTATAAGTGCCCCCATTTAAAAATAGGCCCTTTCCCTTCTCATAAATGCCCCTTTTCATCTATGAAAATAGTTCCTTTTCATTCTCTTAAGTGCCCCTTTTCATCTCTTGTAAATGACCCTATTCACTTCTGAGAGATACTTGTTTTACTTTGACAAGCACCCCTTCCCCTCCTAGTCAGTACTCTTTTCATCTCTTATAAATGCCCCTTTTATTTTGACAAGTCCTCCTTTTCCTTCCTATATAATGCCTTTTTTCCTTATAAGCACCCTTACCCCTTATCATAATTACCGGTATTACTTTTCGTCTTTGATAAGTGCCCCGTTTATTTAAACATGTGCCACTTTTTCTTTTTAATAAGAGCCACTTCCCCTTCTCATTACCCTTTTAACAATGATATGTACCCTATTTCCTTTCTTATAAAGAACCTATCCCTTTTTCATAAATGCCCCTTTTCACTGCTTATAAATGCCCCCTATCAAAATCTGATGGGTGCCTCTTTTCCGTCGACAAATGCCCATGTTCTTATCATCCCTGGTGCATGCCTCTTTGTTTAGGTGTAAGAAGTGCCCCATTTTCACCTCTGATAATTAGCCTTTGTACTTTGACACATGCTTCTTTTCTTTTCTGATAAGTGTCTTAACCCTTTCGATAAGTGTCCCCTTTTCCTCTCATCATTAAACGTGTCCCTAATTTCAAGCGACTAAAAGCAATTTCCCACAAAGCTCGCTCGCTACGCTTGCCCATAGTTATAGATGTTATAATTATGTAACTTATCACAGATCTATTCAGTCTTCCGTTATGAGATTATGCTTATATAACCCCATCAGGATTGGGTTTTCCTCTTTATAAGATGTAATTTTTCGCACTGCAAGCCAAAAACTGCAAAGTATGATACTTAAGCAATATCTTAAATGCTGTATTAAGAGAAACAAATATTGAAATCATCCCTGATAATGTAATCACAAAATAGGGGTATATACCAATGTCAAAAAAATGGTATATTTTCCCTCTGAAGGTGCCCTTTTTTCAAGAAAGTGCCCTTTTTGTTGGTTCCCCCCCCCCCCCCACTTTGGAAGTTGCTCCGCCCAAAGGCTCCGCCGCCTCTGCGTATAAGTAAACATAATTGTCGACTACCCTAGGGGTCTTCTCTTATACAACGTCCAACATAAATAGATTTATCAAATGAACTGCACACTTTGGAGAAGAAAAAATCTTTAATATAGGTCTAGATCTAGAAAAGTTATGACAACTTGACAAGCACACTGGACACACACAACATCTGAACATTAAATAAATGAATCCTAGGTCTAGTTTGTTTGTTTTTGAATATTTTTATTAATAAGTTCCAGGTTTACGTCTAAATGAAATATGGTTTGGAGCCGTTTGATTATCCATGGTCACAAACAATTTTGGTCTAAAAGTTGACACGCACCAATGATGCAACTGAGCGAACGGATAGCACTTAGTCTTAGTAATACTAGTATAGCCAACAGAGTCGACATCTAGACCCTACTAAAGATATAAACAAGAATTAACCCTCTTGGATTATTAAAGAAATCATACTTCATAGATTATTTTAAGGTGTAACGTTAAATCTAGATTTAAATTCAATGGATGATTGGTGAAAACTGAATTAGATTCACGATGACGATCAAATTTGGAATAAAACCTGATCAGAAAGTTTTATCTTGATGCAGATGAGCACCGAAATTCCCCAACGTGGGCCTGCCGGAACCCCGGGCCTCTAAAGGGTGACATGAAGGCAAACCGCAGTCAAACTACTTCACGACGATGAAAATCAAAGTGCAATTTCAAGAGAAATATTTTCCTAGCCTTTTCCCCACAAATCTGTTGAGAACAGTCTCAAAATGTAAAGAAATTACAGTAGATCACGAATTACAGCTTTTTCAAATTAATGACTAAATTCTCTTAATCTACTGATATTTCAATCAATTACTCACCCATATGCATTCTCCGTGAACTAAATCTTCTCACTTTGTGCGAGTATAGCGCGCGTCGTGCATTCCCACCTCGATATGAATATTTAAGAGAATCGAGACTTTCCCCGACCCTGCCTAATGAATATTCATGATAAAACAGGAATCCGGCCTCGCCGTGGTACGAAAAAATAAGACGCTGGCGGGAACGTGCCCCTTTAACATGTTTGATTCAGCACTCAGGTAATTTGTACTTATTGGTGCCAATTTAAGTGTATTTCCACGTTATATATTTCTATATTTTCACAGGCAAAAGCAACCGATACCAGTGCGAGGAGTCAACTTTGTAACAGTGACTGAGCCAGAAAAAAGTGAGTGTAAACAATAAGTCAGATCATTGTTTGAAGGGAAGTTCACCTTGAAATTTCGTTTACTGTAAACAAAGAAAGAAAACAAAGAAGCAGATCAATTATAAAGGTTTGAGGAGAATCAGATACGATTCTAGAAACTAAATAATTAAAGTCATCATAGATAAAACGCTAATTGGCAACTCCATGTCGTACTTTTCAAGGGCTTTTCCCGTTTGCCCTATAGGAGAAAAGTTCATAAAATGTCATTCTCTCTAAAGAAAATATTTATACTGCAGTATACACCCTAAGTTTGATTATTAAAGATGTATTTAACACAACTAGTTCATGAAACAGAGTTAATCCTTCACCAACCTTTCATCGCCTATGTGATCATATTTATCCGTAAAGACCATATCCGAATTGGAAAAAAAATAAAAAAATGGATGAATTATATATCAACGGAGAGCTTATAAGCCATAGATTACACTAATTTCAATTATATGCCATATTTTAGTGTCTGTCAGAAGAGTATCAGCTCTCTGAAAACTCAAAATCTAAAGCTTTGACAATCAGAAGTTGACGACCTAAAAACTTGCTATCGACTTGATGACATCATCTTATGTGAAGTACGCATATTCACAATGACTTTGCATTAATTAAGCACGGCTCATCGTCTCAGCTATATAGGTGAACCGATAAGGTCCACATGTAATGTCGTCACTGTAACTTCGGCAAATTTGACCCCAAGACATTGATCTACATTTGCCACTCTCAACCCAGGTGATGTTAATGGGTACCTGGCAGGAATTAATTCTTTGAAATGCTAGAGCGCCGTATATGGCAGCACAGCTAAAGCCGGGGTAATAATTTCCAAACTTGGAAGCGCTTATTGCTCGTAATAAGCGCTATATAAAAAGTTTATTATTATTATTATTATTATTATATTGCTGTACACTCGACCATTAAAGGACTGGGATGCATGTTCAATTCACAGAAAAGGGTAAGAATTAACGCGTAATGTAACCAGAAGGACGTTCATTCGTAACTAACATACATAAATTAGCATTCATCAACTTAATCTGAATGAATCTGAATATTAATACAGATAAACATAGGAAAACAGAAACATTTGAATCAATGAATAGTTGGTTCAGAATTTATACAGCCCATACTCACTGCGAAGAAACCCACGCGAAAAGAAAAAAAAGAAGAAAAAACTGCCCTTTTCGCTTCGTTCGTTATCTGGAAAACACGTTAACAGGGCGGTAACAGGAGAACACATGTAGCAAATTCATATGATGGTCACCGCGAGTACATTTCGCAATAACACAAAGGCTTACGTCATCCTACCATCAGGTCCCCATTTATCTCCTGGGTATGGAGTGGCAAGTGTAGATTAATCAACGAACCAACGAGTTTTGCATTTCAAGTCAAGTGCTTATTAAACCATTCGACTACGAATTCATTTCAATGATATTTAGACCAAAGAAGAAAAAAAACATGTTTAGCGTCCGTTTTTTTTTTGGTAAAATAGGAAGGAGGAGGCCCTTTTTTTTTTCCTTTCAAAATGGCCGCTCAAAATGGCCGCTCGGTACATTTCCCTGACAGTCGGCCATTCAAGATGGCCGCCGACAATTTTTTTGTTTTTAAATCAGAAATAGATCCATTTTAGCAGTGTTTTCATGTTTTTTTTCTTTCAAATAAACATTTTCAGAAAAATCAACCAAAAAAAAATATCCAAAAAAAAAAAATCCAAAAATTTCAAAAAAAAAAAAAAAAAAAAATGGAAGGCGGCCCCCAAAAGGAAGTGGGCGGGGACGCTAAACATGTATATTTTTTTAATGGCCTTATATATCACATAGGTATTAGAAAGTTCTGTACGTTCTTTTCCTTCATTCGTTTGAAATCCATCATGTTTAAATTAGTGATAATTTTTGTTTTGTCTTTCAGATATATCGAGTCCAGCTCATTGCTCTAACGAGAGGTTACCCCCTTGCACCGTAGGTTCCCACAGTCTTTCTAACCCTATGGCAGCGGGCTACTTCTTCAAAGGACACTGGTATTCCAATTACTGCCGTCTTCGTAGCTTTGTAATCCCTAGCAGTTCCTTAGAATGCCTCACCAATAAAACCCTGTATTTCCACGGTGACTCCACCACGAGACAGTATTACGAATACCTCGTGATGAGTCTTAAGAGTTCCCTTAAACCGAATCCGCCTACTAAACAATCTAATTGGAAGGTTGGCCCTTCTATCGCCGAAGACAAAGTAAACAACTTTACGGTTCACTATCGCCATCACGGATACCCGATCCGGAATAACTGGACGGATGCATCCGAAGTGAAGTACATTGAGGAAGCTCTTGATGAGCTACAAGCGACACCGGATACAGTCTACGTGTTTACACTATGGGCGCATCTAACCACCTTAAACATGAGTTTCTATGAGCATCGAGTGAGGAGGATAAAGGCCGCGGTGGAAAGATTGCATCGCCGAAGTCCCGAGACGCTTGTCGTCATCAAAAGCGCGAATACCCGTTCGCACGGGAGCGCGGGATCGTCTGTAATGGTAAGCGATTGGTACGCGCGAGAACTGGACATGAAGCTTCGGGAAATATTCAAGAGCTACGATAAGAAAATTGGATTCATAGACCAGTGGTCGATGGTGGTAGGATTTTCGAATGTGGATGCCATTCATCCAGGCCAGGGGATTATATCTACTGGAATGCGTACATTACTGTCTTACATGTGCCCTAAAGAATAAAATTGTCATTTCGTGTATATTGAGGTATAATAAGAGTGTTGTACCATTTTGTACTTTATTTGACTTGAAATATTTGACTTGAAACAATCATAGCTAATAGAGGATAAAGTTGTGTCACGAGCACACCGCTCGGTTCAAAGGTCAAAATCTTATCGTCTGAATATTAAATTTGATTTGATTTGATTTGATTTATTTATTTCCGTACCATATTTTATGTGGGAGGGAACTACTTGAATCTTTTAAAAAAATTACTTTGAACGCACACGCGTGCGCATTTCACAACTAGCCATCTATAGGTAATAAAATACAACGTTTTTTTTTATTTTTAAAAAAAAACCTCTTTCTGTCACTTTTTACTCCTTAATTTTTATTTTATCTCTTTTTCCTAGTTTCTTTAATCTTACTTTTCTATTCTTGTAAAAGTTGGTTAATAATGGGTATGGATGTATTTGTTAATAAAAGAAGTTTTTACAGTGTTTCAAACGCAATATTACAGATATTGTCTTTCAAATATATTTCATACAACTAAGTGAAAGGGCGGTTCCGAAATTATTTCATTAGAAATGCCACTAGATGTAGATAATTGTATATATCTAAATTCTGATGACTGATGATATTCCGTTTGTCTAACGAGCATCCAAACAGAATCAAAATCAACTTTCCGCTTCACCACAAAAGCAAACTAAAGATTGACTCTATTGGCCCAGCCAAAGGGGCGCCTACTCAGCATAATTATGCCACCATGTCTTGTCGCAATAGGGAAAAATCATTCCCATCAAGGCTCGTTCAGAGGTGCGGCAAAATGGCGGCGTTTTTTAAAATGTATTATGAGGACGTAAACGTACGCTTCACATATCTGTATCATATATACACAGAGCTCATTGAATAGGCGCAAATCCTTTGTTGCATGCAGTTTCATTTCATTTACACGCAACAACAACAAATTTTTTTTTGCGGTGGTTTACGCGTGGAGACACGTGTAGATAGTTCGATTATAATTATAATTTTTAAAATTCTATACAAATATATATGTTTTTTGTTGTTGTTGTTGCGATGGTGGAAAATCAATATCGGTCCTGACTGGCAGAAGGTAAGGGTTTAAGGGAAGGAGGAAAGTCAATTGCTGTGGAGGAGACTACGGTTATTTCTCTCTTTTAGAGAAAAACAAACAAACAAACTTGGAACAACATTAATTCGATGGGTTGACGGCGACGAATGATCGTGAAATCAAAATGAATGTGAAAAGTGCGCGCTATTGAAGACTTTCAACACATCAAAGCAAGGACAATTTCAATATTCTATCATATTTACTTATACTATAGAAACCATTTTTGCATTGTTTAGAGTGCACGTATGTCAATATGTGATGGTCAAGGCTTTTTAAATTGCATTAATTTGATTGTACAAAAAACATTAGTGATAATGTTTCAGTGAATCAAAAGAAATGTAAAATGCATGTGTCTACGTCGATTACATACAGTACTTATTTTTAACCTTGATAAGATATATACAATTTTGAAGATCAATCTATGAAGGCAATTTCGATAGCCTTTATTTATTTTTCGAAAGACTTCAATACCGATCGTGTTGTTTATTTTATACACACAAGTGTGTAGATAGATTTATATTCAGTTAGTATTCTAAACCGCAGTTAGGAAGATAATTTCCCGTGTAACTTTCAATTTTATTGCGATATCGTCGAAAATTTTGATCACAGTGGTATCGTATCGTGTCATTTGGGAGTTATCGTTTATTATATCTGTTCGACACATGCGTAAGACTATAGGTTTATCTCTACGGTGGTTATTCATGAACACACTACTTTCTTGAAATGTGCATGAGCCTTTTCAATAATTTGTTAAAGCACAAGAAGAAGACGGAAGAGGAGGAGGAGAGTAATATTTATAATAATATTGATAATAATAACAATAGGCCTAAATATAATACATAATGAGGATAATAACGATAATGGTACTATTGGAGTCACCGAGGCCCATGTTTAGTACCTCGAAAAGAAGGCAGGATTTATTTGTTTTGTTTCTTGCTTCAAAAAGTTATTATTAAAAAGATATTATCAAAATTTAAAATATATATATATATATATATATTTCTTCTTCTTTTTTTCTGAACATCTATAACATTTCAATGAAATTCATGGAATTAATTTGTTTAATCTAAACCAATTTAAACAAAAAATTAACATTATTTTTTCACCTCCCAAGTAGTACTCTCAAATATTATTTTTTCAGAGCAACCTTAAAATGGTTGAAATATTTCTGTTCACTTAAAGAGCTTTCAACTAAACAAAAAACAATATGTTTTTAATGCAGGCTATAGTAATTATAATTAACGATGGTGATTATACTAATAATCATTATTTATCAAATAGTGATAGTAATACTTCTGATAATAACAATAAAAACACTTGAGAAAAAGAAGAAGAAGAAGAAGAAGAAGAAGAAGAAAGAAAAAGAAGGAGAAGAAGAAGAGAAGAAGGAGAAGGAGAAGAAGAAGAAAAAGAAGGAGGAGGAGGGCCTATATATCTTTATATTATAGGATTTCTCGGCCAAATTCGCGAGTTTGTCATTTAAATTAATTTGTCTTGCGTTCAAATTCGACGGTTTTAGTACTGTCGGTTATATCTCGGGTTTATATTCCTTTTTCTAGATTTCAAATCTATGAAGTTTTCGTTAGAATCTATGTATGTTTCATTCAAATTAATGAACAAAGTGCTTCTTTCGCTATTTGGTCATTCGATTTAGCGCAACACGATATTCTGACATCGCGACGGTGTACTTCTAGCATTCTAATTCATTTGTAGCATTCAAATTAGCACTTTGTGCACTAAAATTAATGGTCAATATACATTTCTCGCTTATTACACACTTTCTGTAGCTCATTCTTTTTCTTTCATCTTTATTTCATCCTGTTTTATTTTCTTGCATTTATACCCTTTATATACTTTTAAATTTATTAGATATTCATCAGCCTTTAAGTTTGATTGTTAAAAAAAAAGACTTACATCTACGGACTTGATGGTCTCAATATTTGTGTAAATTTTCATGTAAGGAAGTTGTTTGTCTTGTCTTTCATCTTAAATTTATCACAATTTCATTATGGAGGAAGGGTACAATATTGTGACTGGGGTAGGTGCTTTTTGTATCCCCACTTTTCCGGGGTATATGAACATTTCCGTTCAGAAATGCCATATTCCTTGATTTCGCCCCTTCTTTACCCGATGTCTGACTACCAAAATATGCTTTTTCCTCAAAATTAAGAAATGGAATAACAGAAAAGACCCCGATGGCAAATCCTGTATTTAATTGCATTTTTTTTAAACTGTGAACGTGTGTTGCATTTCTTCCCCTAACATTCCTAACTTGAATAAACATAATTCGAATACGAATGACAGGTGTTAATTTGAATGATAAAAATAACGCCTCGACAAGTGACGATTAATTTGAATGCTAGTTGAGCAGTTTCTAAATTGAATGACAGATCTATGAAATCCTTCGACCCAAATCCTAAATTAAATACAAAATCGGGAAAATTGAATGATAATTGGCATGTCAAAGCTGATCTGCGCTAACTTAAATGCAAAGTAAATGAATTCGAATGACAAACTCGCGAATTTGGCCGGGAAATCCTATAGTAATAATGCTGTATTTTATTCATTTTATAGATGCAAAATAGTGTGTGTGCGCGCGTGCATGTGCGATGTGTGTGCCTCAGTGAGAGGGTCCCTTGACTTAGTATAAACATGATTATAATTATACACTTGGTGGTTGTATCTTAGTTTGTACATTTTCTTTTTTCTTCTTCATAATAATGTTTTAAGTTTGTTTTTAATATCTGTAAGTTATATGTTTAATCTTATAATAATTGTACATTTATTTTTATTGTGCACGAACCTGCGGAAGAACAGCCTTTGTGAACAGTTTGAAGTGGGTGCCGTGCAAAAATAAAATAAACTGAACTGAACTGTATACATATTCATATATCTGAAGGCCCATTTAGACATGTCAGAAATGAGGCGGTAAAGAGATTGATATGATATTTATTCTGGTCTAAATGGGTGTTTCGTTGTCTAATACCGTGTGAGTAAAAAAAAAAGTTGAAACCTAGAAAATTGCTGATTATTTTAAAAATCATCTATGAACAGTAACTTATTATACATCTTATGAAAAATTGTTTTATTCCAAATCATTTGGTATCATTTTTGTGTGGTATGTGTTCACGCTTGGATGAATAGGGGGCCTTGGTTGCGAGAGTGTAAAAATCGACTTGCGCCAAAGGGATGCCTACAGCATATATTATGTTTGGATTAGCGGAGTGAGAGAATGAATTGAATTTATCACATGAAATGCATTGCATATGCTTTTTGCAAAAGCAAAGTCACACACACACACACACACACGCGCGCACAATGGATGCTGATTTTTGATATTCGATAGTTGATATATGTGGCATGATTAATTTTGTTAGGGATGTTATTTGGATCTGCAAAAATCGAATTAATACCCAAATCCCAATTGTTTTATTCAAACATCACATAAGCAACTTTGGCGCAAGTCGATTTTTGCACTCTTGCAAACAATGCCTCATGTTTATCCAAGCGTGAACACATACCACACAAAAATGATACCAAATGATTTGGGATAAAACACCCTTTCATAAGATGTATAATAATTGACTGTTCATAGATGGTTTTTAAAATAATTAGCAATTTACTAGGTGTGAACTTTTTTTGACTCACACTGTAGATGTCACCCTGGCGCGGCACTAATATCCCTTCAAATTGGTAAGACGTTGATTTGCAATTGCCACTGTCCAGCCCGGTGGAGTAAATGGGCAACTGTGCGGCCTATCTTTCGAAGCTTTCTCCGATTCGCTTTTCACATTTAGGCCTATACTAACAAATGCATACATTCCTATTTTATTTGAAGAAAATACATAATTGTACTTGCATCCAAGAAACGATTACTGCACATATTGTTTAAAAAGATGTTGTTTTGCCCTTTAGGTGCCAAAACCTGGGTCGGTCGGTCGGAAATATTTTGTTTTCTTCAATTTTTAAAAATATTTTTATATCCCTCTTTGGGCTGATATTTTTCAGTTTTGAATCCTTTAATACATTTTTTTTCCTAAAAAAACTATAGGGTTTCTAAAAAGCCGACCGTAGTTTTTTAAGATTTCTTGGGTCGGTCGCAAAGGGCAATACAACATCTTTTTTAAAGGCCTAATTGCAATGACGACCTTCGTCATTGCTTTGTTATTATTATTATTTTCATGCTCAAAACATACTACAACTCATTGTTTTTGTTGCGATTATGTTCGCATCATGTTTTATTCATTTCGTCACCGCAAAATGTAATGAAATACCTGTAAAGAGCAAGACCACCCTAAAAATATATTTCTTCCAATAGAAGCAGAAAAATCAAACAAACCAATCAAAAAAGTTTGAATAAAATCGGATAACTAATAAGAGAGCTTTAAATTTGTAATGACATGAAAATCACAAGACAAGTTGGCAACTGACTCACGAGTCTGTGACGTCATTGCCTCACTTTTTATATGAAAATTAATGATTATGATCAATAGTATTCTTCAAAGTTCATAAAATATTTTGCGTAATGTCATGCACGCAATATGGGGAAAAAAAAAAAAAAGGTAAAAAAGGAAAATTAATGGGATAAAAATATATAAAGTAATTGATAATTAGTGAGGCAATGACGTCACAAACTGATAACCAAATTGGAATTTTGTGTAGTGATTTCCGTTGTTCCATAGATTTTCACACTTTTTCAAAAATTCACTCAAATTACTCAAATTTGATTTGCTTTGTTTCTCTTTTTTCTGCATCTATTAAGAGCAAAATATTTTTGGAGTGGACTTAGCCTTTAAGAGTACAGTCAGGGTAATATAACTTTTGCATGGAATCTGTAGAATATGATTTGTTATAGCGCCTTTTCGTGGCCGTAAAAAAACTATTCACAGATTTCACCCAGAAAGTAGAATGTTTGCCACTTATTGTGATTTGTAGTGATTTTAGATTAATCTTGATGCTTTTACCGCAGTGTTATATTAGTTGATGTTATTTGTCATAATGTAGCATCTTTAACAACAACAAAAAGAAAAGAAGAAGACAAAAAAAAAATCATTTTCATTAACTTATTTGGAACATGTTATACAAATTATATGTACTAATAGAAAGTACCCGTGGCAGCACACAGTTGGTTTCTTTATCAAGGTGTGTGTGTGTGTGTGTGGGGGGGGGGGTGGTCTTCTTGTTCGACAGCTAGACTGTCCATACACACTGAAAGCCAAGTAATATATTGATGAAATATATTTAAACAATTTTATTGATTCATAGCAGACTTCTTCTTCAATATAGATAGGAGGTTCAATTACGTTAAGCATCTTAGGTTGAATTGGAAGAAGAACTTCGATAATCATAGTGAAATCCAGATCTAACTATAGAATGTATTCAGTAAGCAGTCAAGAGGCAATTATTGTGATATAGAAAAGTTAACATTACTTGTACTGGGTCAGAATTAAATATGTAAGTACATTGTACATGTATCTTACAATGTACATTAGACTGCAGGTGTTCGTACTTCTTCCATTAAAGGTTGCTCAATCATATATAAGTAAAGCGCGATGTCGAAAAGAAGCGAGAATGGGAGAAAGAGAGCGACTAAAGGGGGCGGGGGTTTACGTGAGTGAGAGAGAGAGAGAGAGAGACAGACAGACAGACAGAAACAGTGGTGGGAAAATGAGTGAGAGAGACAGACCAGGCGCGGATCCAGGTGGGGGGGGGGGGGCCGGGGGACAAATATTGGTTGATCCACCAGATCAAGGGCCCCCCCCCCCCCTGGGAAAAAAAAGGAGGGAA